AAGAAAGAAAGAGAAAAATAGCTCTAGGAATCATGACAGCTGACAAAGAAGATAAAATTCATAGAGAAATAAGACAATCTAGAGGAGAGATTGAAGCGATCTCGAACGCTCAGCCTGGCTCCACAAGTACCAGGTGAGTCCTGAGAGGGCTGGCACCCAGTGAGGACCAACAGACCAGCAGTGTAAGCCCGGAGAAAGCTGCACCTACGGTGTGGGCTGTTACTCTCAAAGTGACTCCCTCTGCATAGCAGGTGAGTTTTGGAGAAGAAATTCACTGCAGGGCCTGCCATATAGAAGTGATATAATCAGAAGTCCTTTTGAGAAAGTTTTTCAAGACAGCTACTCCAGTAATCAGCTATCACAGAACATTCACCCTACAGGAGTGACTGGTGGAAGACAGCCACAAGAGACAATCACAAAGACAGGGACAACTAATCACAGACCCTCTTGAGAAGTTTAAGCAGCGTGGCTGTGGAAGACACAGCTGTGCCAAGCTCAGTGATGAGAAACCAGGTGGGTCATGTGCGGTTTTCAGTTCACTGGACTCAATACCAGCACTTTCAGTCTGCTCCTGCCTACCTCCAGCTCAGACAAAGTGGTCCCTTGACTTTCGCATCTGCAAGATGGGAAAGTGATGGGGGTGATGAAGGGGACACCTCCACTGGGCTGCCTACTAGACTCCTGGGCTTATGGGGAGAAGGGACTACAGAGCAAGTGGGACCCTTCGCAAACCCACCTCCTGCAACTAAATCAGGGGCAGCAGTGGCTTGGGGACCAGACCACAGATGGGCACAAAGGAGCATTAAAAACTTCGCAAGTAAGCAAGGACCCAAGACAGACAGCATACCATTGACTGATGCCTCCTAGTGGGGAAAGGAGGCAGAAGGCAGCTTTCACAGAACAAAATGTGGGTGTGGAAACACAAATCCCAGTGGTGAATCACTATCTCCACCCCATCGCTGATGGATCCGCGTACTGTGGTTCCTGAAAAGCAACTACCCACCTAAACAACACAACGGGAGTAACTTTTTGGACTCATTTGTCGTTTTGGTTTTTGTTTTTTGTTTTTTTTAATTTTGGGGATTTGGATTTTTTTTTTAAGTGGGGGGAGATGTTTGATTCTTTTGTTCTTTTATTCTTGTTTTACTTTTCTGTTATCTCTACCTAGTTCTTTTGTAATTTTTAAAGTTCTATAATACTCAATTTATGTCACATTTTTCTTTTCACCTTCCTTAATCTTTTTTTATAATGACATAAGTTAATTTTAATCAGTCTGAGTTACAAATACTTCAATTTTCACTAATTTTATATGCATAATTAATATGTGGAAAGTGTTTTACAATGAATTGAAAACTAACATGCTTATAATGAAAAGGGGA